CAGGACAGAAAGACGAATGATAGTGTAACCGTTTTCCGCGAAACGTTGGTAGAGCGAGTTACTTCACTTGTCTCTTTTATCAATACGCACTGACGATGCCGACGAAACGTCTGAGAATGTACCAGGTCTACAGTCTGATGCTGGGAAATATGATAACTACTATGGCAGAGGACTTCGGACAAGGTTCGTTCAACTGAGTCGCCCTGACAACAGGACCAAGCTGCGAAAACGAGATCACCCCAGTTATACATTTTTCATTATTCTCAAGTTAATAATAAGCCAATTAATTATCAAATTATCAATTTATGATAGTCAATTCTCTGTACTTTTAGCTCACTTTTCTGTCTCGATTCGAGACCGAAAACAAAAAATAGCCTCATCAACAAAACTAGACAAGTGTCCGTTCAACTGAGTCGCCCTGACAACAGGACCAAGCTGCAAAACGAGATCACCCCACTTATACATTTTTAATTATTCGCAAGTTAATAATAAGCCAATTAATTATCAATTTATCAATTAATGATAGTCACTTCTCTGTACTTTTAGCTTCGAGACCGAAAACAAAAAATAGCCTCATCAACAAAACCAGACAAGTGTCCAACCTTGCGCAATCAGAATGATGGTTTTAACATGTTTGTAGAAAGATGGAAATAGGCGTCATCAAACCAAGATTGCAGAGAAAGGATGTAACTTTGTTGTCCTAATTACTTTGAGCCAGCATTACGGGTTTCGTGCATAAGCGAACACAAACAGGCACATACACATACAGAGACAGACACACTCACAGATATCGAAGTTGACATACGACCGTAACTGACCTAATCACTTTATAACTGATCAAAGAGGCCAGATGTAGAGTAGATATACCACTTTTTAGGGATTTGTGAGCTTGAATTTTGCTGTGACGATATTCGTCAAATGACGGACGAAAACTTAGCACCTTTTGATCGGAATCGAAGACGATTGCCTCGGAAACAGTAAAGCCAATCGACATTTGGTCAAGAGGAATGCGTTGCTGATCGTCTTCTGGTGGAACCGACCTTCGAATCTCTTCACGCAACACTTGCTCTCGAAATGGAAGTAAGCTCAACAATTATGAAACAAGAGATTCCTCGAAACCCAAATTTTCTTCGCATTAAATTCATAGACGATGACACAATTAGTGAAAAAATCTTATTATTTTAAAGTTAATTTAATATAATTAATAAAATTTAAAGTTAATTATTGAGTGAGTGAATGGAGGAATGACTGAAAAAAATAAATAGTGAACTTGCCCGCTCGGGCTGTGATGCCGACTTACTTTGTCCAAAAAAATGTTGGGCGGACCACCAACAGCCCCAGCGAGAGATCCGATCTTGACGGCGTTCAGCCTCTCTGAGGGCCAATCGGGCGAGAACAACTGTTCGATGGAATGGACAGCTCGAGACCCGTCGACCGGCACAAGAGAGCCGTCCACCAGCCAGACAACTTCGAGCAGCTGCGGAGTCAATGCGACAGGATTGAGGGCAACTGGCGAATTGGGTTGCATGTTTTGCGGCGAACAGAATCGGGCCGGACCCGGCTGAGGTGCAGGCGGTGCCGGCTGGCGAAAAGAGCCGCCTCCCTGACGATGGCGAAGCTGAAAGATTCGTGTGACGCCGGGAAAAGAGGGCAGGTTCTGACGAACTAGCACAAGACAATCGTTGTCGTGCAGAGTAATCTCCCTACTCAGGTTGTGCCTGGCGAACGAGTGGTCGGGAGCAGAAGAAGCAAGAAGGAACAGGAAAAGGGGCAATTGGGGAGAAAAAGACCGATGATGATGACGAGGAGGAGGAGAAGGAGCTGCGAATCTTTTAGGTGCATACATTTTCCATTTTAGAAACTATTTCATACAAATGGTTGGGATGCATTCATATGAATATGCAAATTCGAAAAGTGTAATCCAACCTATACCTGATGTGTGTAAGGCTCATTCTCCTTCTGTAAGTGTGACAAGAATAACAAAATAAATAAAGATGTGAAGACCAAGATGTTGTGGCCTCGGGTATGGTCGCGAAAGAGAGGGGTAGGGGTAAATAGTAAGTGCGATGAGGCCACACTAGGT